ATAATTACTTTCGGGTCTTCAATTGCTACGCTTAGTAACTATAATATGCGTGAAAGAACTACGTTCCCGCACGAATGGGCCCCATTTTGATACCACGGCATCACATGAATCAACCACAGCGTTGTATTTCGCTGGATAAGGTTACTGGAGTCCCAACTATTTCCCTTCCCCAATCCATAAATCTCCAAAACCCTAATTCCCAAAAGGTCGGCAACGCGCTTGTCAGCCCTCCGTTGTTGCAAGTTTAATGGGTGGCGCCGATTGCTTACCATCAGATAATCCGTCTACTCGTTTGCCGACATAAAACATAAAAATAGGCACACAAATATTATGCAACATGCGGTGGACCGTACGACGCGCCCACAGCGTGCTGTGTCTCCGTAAATCAAGCCTAAGGGCAACACTATTCTTTTGGAGAAGCTTCAATGGATTACCCTTACATTTATTTCTCTTTAGCCTAGTTAGAATATTAAATCTATTTATACGATTAGTATTCAAAACGGAATATTTTGTGAACGTAAATTGTAAATTATGCAGCCTTAGTATATCCTGGTTAAGCACTTTCAAGTAGTGAAGTACGTGTTAATGGAATTATAACGAAGTCAACTATGATGTCATACTATCACGAATATAAATTATTTTTTTTTGGCCAAGTGTATTTGGCTTATTTTATCTGCTCGTTACGCCATCTTGTATAGAAATCAGATTTAATCAAGTTATTTTAATCATCTTTATATTTACTTTTAACTTAGATACTAATATTCATAAGTTAATTATAGAGACAAATTTTATGTATACTTCGATCTTGTTCTATTGCTATAGGCTGCTTTTTATCGACACAGCACGCGGGTGAAGCCGGTGGCGGAAGCTACATAGTTACAGAAATAAACATTTTTAATACAAATATAAAAATCGTTATTGTGTTACCTATAGGTAAATAGGTGTTACGTGTTTCATAGATTGTAAACAGCTATGTCCCGCCATTATTAAAAAAAAACCTGTGACATAGAATTGATTAAGGTTTTATAGATAATAAACGGAAAATATTTATAAATCATCAATATGGCTAGTACACCTACACTCAAACGCAGTATTTTAACTAGTTTTTACTGCAATAGTGCAAAGCGCCTTCTTAAACCTATCAGCATTTATTTAAACAGACATTAGCTGCAATCTTTACTAGTAGGCGTCCAGATTGTTATCCGCAAAATAAATAATAATTAACGTAAAATGAGAATAATGTTAGATTTAGAATTTTTCCTTTTTTGCAACTGAAATGAAAACCGAAACGGATTTAAAAAAAAATGAGGAGCGAGTTTTAGGTTTTACTATACATATACATATTTATTCAATTATGTACATCGATCTATCTATGTTTAATTCAAAATTTAATAAAAGTCAATGTTACTCATTGTTTGCTTTATTGGAAGATACACATACAATTACGTTGCAAAATATACAAAATAGGTTAAATACATTTTTATTATTGAACTAAATGTCCATACTACTAAATCAAGTGATAATACGCAGCAATATCCTTTTTAGAAAAACCTTATCTTCTTTCATAGCAAGATTTTACTTTGAAGTAAAGATCTCTAATTATTTTCGTAGGCACAAAATAATTAATTGTATCATTTTATATAAGGCTTACAGACTAATAATCTGGGGATTACGTATACATAGCTATTTATTTAAAAATATAATAATATATAGATAATTTAAAATTCTGAAAATAAATGATCATTAGTTTTACAGCATTGACACAATAATTATATTTAACATATACGTAAAAATACATTTTGTACTAGAATATCGACGATGACGACGACGAAATGAAAATTAAATTAAGTTTTATATGAGTCTCTTTTGTTTCCAAAAGTTTCAAGTTTTTAGCATACGGATTACCTGATGGTAAGCAATCAGCGCCGCTCATGGACAATATCAGAGGAGTTACGCGCGTTGTCAACCTTTTGGGGGTTAGGGATTTGTGAGATTTAGGGATTGGGGAGGAATTTGGGCGGCGAAACACAACGATGAGGTCATTTCACGCCGGTTTTCTGTAAGGCCGTGGTGTCACTCCTGTCGAGCCGACCCATTTGTGCCGAAGCATGGCTCTCCCACACTTATATTACTTAAATTCGTAACTACTGGAAAACATGAAACACTCTTACATAATTATTATATATCCAAAGTAGAATTAGGTACAACCAGATTATTGGCTCTAGATAATTATTAACTACTATTGACATTATTAGTTTTTTAATACGTAACGATTTAAATTTCCAACTTGAAAATAACATAATTCTGTTATTTTTTCTTTGACAGATATGCATCTAAAGTCTTCCGTGTAATGTAAAACATTTGACTAATCGCCAGTCAAATCAATTTTAGCCATCTCGTCGCATAATCAGGTAAAAGGTCATAAACCGAAACTGTGCAGTCTAGCAAACGTAACCCCACCAAGTGATGTACAAAAGGTTACTAGTTTCGTCACAGCTATTTTGTAACCGTTTTAAATAACGAAGGTTCAAGCTCTCGTGTTAGAGAGCCGCACACACTGCCATCTGTCGCACGATGACAATACTAGATCTTGCGTAATTTAATGTAAAGAACAAATTGTGAATCTCATGCATACTTACAAACCAACTACAATGCATTCAAGGTCATTTGCTTAATTTTTAAAAACATTATATTTGTAATACTTACTTACAATGTAATTTTAAAATTGGTTTTGTATGTTTGCTCGTAATTTCATGACATAATCCTCATAAGGAAAATTAGGAGGTCGTAGAAAAGGATATAATGTGATACATGAATAAAAATTTCCCCAAGAAAAGCAAATATAAAGATAAAGTTGTAATTACTGTTAAAAAAAGTCATTAAATATCTATTATCACCCTAGCGTGGGCCAGTGGGAGTGTCAGACTTATTGACTGTAAACCACCGCAATCCTTCACCTGCAACCCTGACTGAATTGACTGACTGATAATTTATTTAAACATTACCTATCCCCTCGTAATTAGGCCCCTACCGTAACTTTTTATTATGTTTAAATAGGATGATAAATAAATATAGAAATAACATTAAGCGAATCGATGTTTATTAGAAAATCACTAACTTGTTCGTAATAAACACAAAATGCCAGGTCGATGAAGCTTAGGACTCCAATTTATTAGCCCTTGATTCTAGTATGAATGAGTCATAACAGAATTTTGTGTCTTCTTTTGTTATCATTTGGGACTACTATTGCGTGAAATAAATATATTTGTTAAACTTGAAACAACTATTAGCGTGTTTATCATATTGTAACAGGATCTTTAGCCCCAGACATTTAGATAGCCGGTCAGTATCTCTCGTGATATGTGAAGGTTGCTGAACTAAACGTTTAGGTAGGTACTGTAACTTTTAGGTACGCATAAACGGATGCAAGAACCTTCACGACGATGCGTTGTGTGCGTTGGCATTTAGATACATTTACGAAACATACATTGAGCACTAACTATGCGAAATTTCTAAGTCTTATGTTATTGCGCTAACTTGTAACATGACTTTCAATTTCCTTCAAGACCTGTAAGTATTGTTTAAGAGGAGACGTAGTTGTTTTCAGAAACTACAGCTATATTTATAAATATTTAGTAGTTGCAATGATACTTACGTTTAACATTTGATTTTCAATAGCGTAGTCAAGCGATGGTGGTGTAATGGTCAGCATAGTTGCCTTCCAAGCAAAATGACTTTCAATTTCCTTCAAGACCTGTAAGTATTGTTTAAGAGGAGACGTTGTTGGTTTCAGAAACTACATCCATATTTATATATATTTAGTAGTTGCAATGATACTTACGTTTAACATTTGATTTTCAATAGCGTAGTCAATATTATTATTGATATTTAATCGATAAATCGAATTCAATTATTGATTTAACCAATAGATGTTCATTTTATTATAAAGTTTGCATCCAAGTTGTTTCTTTGAACTCTATTGATCCACAATTTTGTAATATTGAAGTTACACGCCAACATTACATTCAAGTTAAATATGTATTTAAGCGGCAAAAATACTCAGTTTAAAGACTTGCAAAATGCCTGGTACCATATAATGTGAATACAAAGTACCAACGCTAGTATATGCTTCTTGTATTGTATAATATGTAACGTATATCTGTTAGGGTTATTTGTTCACATATAAGTTTTCGTTATTGACTTGGTTGATTTTCCATCTCATATTACAAAATACCCGACGAACCTACCCGAAGAGGTAAAAGAGGTCCTATATAATACTTCCTTTTCACCAGGAATTTTATATAACTCATTTCATTCCATTTATATTCGTGTTCCTTAATTAGGTAGGTGTGATACATTCATACATGATCCATTTGAAGGCTATGTTGCAAATAGGAACATTTGGTCTCATAGGCAGCAATTTCTTAAACTGAGACTGGAGTCAGACCATAGACCTGCTTACCCCGTTAAGCACCTATAGCAGCCTTATTTCTACATGTAAAAGTCAGACCTCTAGGAAGACTAGAAATAAGCAAGAAAATTAATAAAATGTAGAAATGATCGCGACTATCTAATGGAAGTTACGTAAAGTAATTCTTTTAGGTTTCGTGATGACTACTAGTTGTCCTTGCTGAGTGACGACTAAATAAAAATGCGTTGCCATCAAATAACAATAAACAAAATGTTCTTTAACGATTCAAACTTTGTTTTATTACTCTGAATATGCTTACCGTAAAATTGTTTTTTTGTGTATAATATTTTTAATTTCAATTAATATGGGAATATTGTTATGCCATTTTATAAGGCCGAAAACACTGATAAAATATCATAAAATCTATACTATTAATAATGTCACGATTTTTCAATATTTCAATAATTTAATATTTAAATACAGATAACCAAAAACCAATAAAGATATTTTTATCCTTATACAAAATTTATAAAAATATGTAAATGTGTTGACAGAAAAAAACAACGCATTAAAAAAAAGTTATTTTAATTGTTGCATTAAAATTTTATAAAAGTACAAAAAGCAATATACACAATATTTATAAACAAAAGACGTCCTTATGGCACGCGAATTTAGAATTAGATCCCTTAACTGCTGAGATCTTGTGATCTGACAAATCTATTGAAAGTAGTATTCTACTGTGAGGAGTATTAACTATTTACAAGATTATTTCGTTGTGTGATCTTATTGTCCTAGGGAGGTCTTGGGCTGGAAGCCGTTGGGTCCGGCGGTGAAGGTGACGGTGTAGTGTTTGCCGTCAGGGGCGACGTACGCGTACTGACCAGTGACGGTCAATGCGGCGTTCTCTGACTGAGGGTTGTCCAGCTTGCCCTCCTCCTGTCTGGAGGTGCCGTCGCTGGTCTCATAGCTGTAAAAGAGATTTGTTGAAGTTAAATTGAAGATTATTCATCATGTATAGGTTAAAGTAGAGGAACGTTTGTTAAAATGTTGCAAGATTAAAAAATATGAGTAGATAGAATAGAATATACAACATATCGCTATTAAAGTAAAATATTATCATTATTATCAGCTTTGCAGGTAAGTGAATTTGTAAGAACTTTCAAGCAATAGCAATCTAGGTAGGTTCTTTCTATTAATAGAAATTTAATAATTTATGTGAGACAAAAATACCGCTTTTTAATGAATATTCTTTTGATAAAACAATCTTAATACAATACAAGTAGATTTATGAACAGTGATTATGATTACTATTTAATATAACCCTTCATAATTTCCTTGACCCCACCTCGATCTCCTTGATCCCGGAATCATCAGATCTTAAGTCAGTCATATAATGACTTTATGATTACTATCGAACAAGGTTTTAGAAAAACAAGGTTATATTCTAAAAAAAAAATGATGAGATTATTACATGTTATTACTTTAAATGTTTTATAGGGTCATTACGGTTTATATGTAACATTAGTTTCCTTGTTTATAAAGCTGCAGTAAACTGTAAGTAAATATTATATTCATATAATATACTAACTAACGTCTTCACTATATAAGACAACTGTAATCATGGATGGTAATTTTTACATTGTTACTACAGCAGATAAAAATATAATATTTTATTTTTACTTAAAGGATAAGTGATTCAAAATAAAAACCTGGACTACTAATGGTTTTTATATAAACGTAAAAAGCAAAAAAATATCGTTTATATGACTAAAAATTTAAAATAATAGAATTAAGTTTGTGGCTCTCTAAGATTTGGGAAAATTCAATTACGCCAACAAAAGACATCAACGCGCGTCGATAATAGTGATCAATATTTTAGTGACCTCTAAACTGTTTTGTATCAATATTATTTTTTCGTAACCTATTGTTATAGCTTGGATCAAGTTGATTTATACAATAAATATTTCGTTAAAATAATATACTCTTTAATATTCCACTTTCCTTATTACGTAATTAGGTAAAACATTTATGTTGCTGTTGACAGATTGAAATGGTTATATTATTTTTATGGTTTACAATGGGAGTTGTATAATGTTAGTTAGTTACGTCACAAAGGGTCATCGCCTACTCTTAACTCGGTTGGTTTCGCAATAAACGGTTACATTTACCAACTGATTAAGTAATTATGTGAAGAGATATTTCAATTCAATAGGTAAGCAATGTGCTCAATTAAGCCTCATTGTTAATAAATAATCATTTTTTTAAATATTTAAATGAAGAATTGCAAAATAGGTAACATATTTCAGGGTTAATATGTTATAAAACATAAAAATATAATAAAATATTTAGTAAATATATAATAACCTAAATAACATTTTACAATATACGAGCAATGATTTTGTAATAATAATAACTACCATTTGACCTGTAAGGGCTTACAGGAAACTGGTAATTAGTTGTTTTTGATATTATCAGTCGCATGTTCCCAATACCAGGTGGTATTTGCACACATATATACTAGTATGTAGTCTAGTATGTATTGTTTACGACATGCCTTTAAAGGCTATAGTCGTTTGTCGCGAGTTAGAACAAAACTCAATAGTCAAACATCTTTTCTATCGCTGTATGTCGATAATTTTATTGTAAGTAAAACCTGATTGAACATCTGCATCAAAGGCACCGTCTTGCTAATAAAGGTTTTATTGAAATTCGAGGAAAATAGAAGTATTTATAGAAAATTTTGTAACTTTCTTAGTTCATTTGAAATTACAAAGATACTATCTCAAGGTATCTACTAGATATTTTTTTTGTATAATAAGAGAATATATAATAAATTGAGATAAATCATCTGTTATTAAATCACAGTTGAAGAATTTAAAGGCTTGAACAAACAGTTTAATAACAGTTTAACAGTTTAACAGTTAAACAGTTTAATAATTATAAAAAGCATTATATTTATTATATTAAGAAGGTACTAATTAGCAAAATGTGTTTGGCTTCTTAAGTACTAGGGTTGATCACGATCTCATTGTTCCGAATGTGAAAGTTGATAAAGAAAAGACGTATGAAGATAAACTTACGCGAAGCTGTAACCATCGGGCTCAACGTTGCTATCGAAGCGCAGGATCTGCACGTCTTGTGGGTTCTGCTGCGGTGCGCCTGAGCAGACCGCTACTAGCACGCAAACCAAAGCTACCTGTACAACAACATACATAAAAATAATTAGCATTTTCGTAGATAGGGCTTTAAATGAAATTGTTGGGCATTTATTTGCTGAAACATATTTTGAGCAAAATAACTGCAACTGTAATTTCAATGTGTGTTGCGAAAAACACTGCGTATTAAGATGAATAGCAGTGTTTTAGACTATAATCTTTCAGTGTAGCCAATTTGCTCCAGAATTTTAGTAACTAAAATATTATAAATGCACAAAATGAGCTTCTATTATAAATATTATCAGTAACACGGTACACTGTATAGTTTTTCGTAAAAACGCACATATGTAATGTAATACTGGTGATTATACCCTAAATTTACAATTTATCCCCCATCACCTACATCAAGCAACCGTACTGCAGTTTGTTCTCATGCAACGAGCAAACATTACTGCATTTAAAACAACATTTGTTAAAGGTTCTCCGTTTACGTATGTTATGTTCGATAATATGGTTGAGTAATATCTTGAGTGTTTGTTTCAGTTGGGCTCCTTTGTATATTGTTTGACAAAGATTCGCCTCGTTGCTGAAGTGGTTGTAAGTGCAAGTTCCGAGGAAGACATGTTTTTTTTTCAACATTTTCAAAAAAAAAAAAACGGTATTTGAAACGATGCTGTGTGTATAGGGTAATAAAATTGGTGGTAATGGCATGAGATAAGTTTATCTTTTTATGAGTCTTCGGGAGTAAAAAGTGGCGATATTATATAGGTATATATGTGAAGTTTACAGTAACGAAATTCCCATCTTTTTTTGTTAAAAGGTAAACTCGAATATTTGCAATTATTTTGCAAAAGGAAAAACAAAGTTTCTTATGCAATTAGAAATAACGACTGTGCTCATATAGTTTTGTTTGATTTTATTATGCAATGTGCAAAAGTTTTGTGTTGATAAAGCTATCTTTTTACTATAGACAGATTACTTGTTAATTATGAAAAACCGTGGTTACTGAGCGGAGCATAATATTAACCTAATAGATAAATGAAACTGAAATGTTAGGGACAAATATATATAGAAAATTAAACTGTTATATAGCCAATACTAGTAGGTCAAAAGTATAAATAAACCTTCTTTACGTACATGTCCCTAGCAGCCTACATTCAGTTAAATGCTAACGGTGAGGTAGCGACAGTAAACGTTTAGTTTAACTGACGACCCATTGTTCACTATTACCCATTTAAGCCCTTTAAATGACTGACTTTTAAGTACCACGCATAATGTTAAATAACTAAATGTATAACTGATAACTGTTGGATAGCTTAAATATATATCTAGTTAATAAGCTATTAAGAACTAGAAACAATTTTATAGAGAAGTCATAATCTATTTTAATTTTGAATTTCGTGGATAAATTGAGGGTGGTTCCTGTGAGCATGTTAAAATTATCTATGAATGTTAGCAAGATCTAAACATAAAAAATCCAAAAGATGTTTATAAGAAACCGCAGTAAATGATGAGACCACCCATTGTACATTAAAAATCATTCCAGCCTATAATTCCAGTGATTATTGATTAGAATCCAAGACCCCTGCGAAAAATTAAATTCGACACTAATCACACTGAATATTACGTAAATTGAATATACACAGATATTAAAATCCTGAATAAAACATGAGAGCACGCGATGGCTCCGTAATAACAGGCCAGCTGTTGCAAACGTAACCCTGGGGTCAGGATTCATCAAGTCACTCCGGTATGACACCTCGAACCATTGTTTTGCGCATCTTATTGCCATTACCACACATTAAAGATGCAACACAAAAGACACAACACACTTTCATTAGTAAATTGCAAAAAAGTTTTAGAATATTAATCTTTAAATCCTTATGTATATTTCTAATTATTAAATTTAAGTAAATAAAAATATTAACTCACGTATTTGAGCATGATGCTTAGTTTTCGTCTTGAGTTCAAACTAACGAATGAGTAACTAGTGTAAGATCGTTCATTTTATATATATCCCGAGTTGCAAGCACTTGCAGAAGGCTGACATCATGTGAGGATGGGTCGCGGTGACGCGCTCCTCACTCCACTCTACGTTTTAAAGAGACCTCCGCACTTTTTTTGTGAACTTTGGCATAAGATCACAAATCAAATACTCATTTAACAATACTATTCATTTTTAAGACATTACATAATAAACTTTAAATAATGCGTATTTAGTAATATTTTATTTTTTGGTAAAAAGGTTACTATACTTTTTAATTACAGAATAATGAATAATCATGGTTTGAAGATAAAATTATTGCAATAATTTAAGTAACTAAAGTGTCAAAATGAATTTTACTAAGACTTGTTTATAATTTCAATTTATAATTTGTTTTAATAATTCATTACTAGTTATGTCAAATGTATCTACATATATGTTTTTAATTATGTTTCGATTATATGTTCTGTTGGTGTGTGTTACATGGTTCTAGTTAATAATTAAGAGTTTTATTTCAATATCGATATCTGACATTTTCCTTTACCAAAATTAACAAATTTTTTTACCAGGAAATCTTTAAACTATTTGTCCATAGATGGTTTGAAGTGTCGCAACATAATTATACGGTGCTACTTCAATATAAATATAATTGAGTATAATAAAAACTGACTCAAATTTCATGACAGACAGATTAAGAAATAGTACGTGAGTGAAAACACAATGAGTTCGTTTGGAGCTTCGTATCAACTACATTATACACACTCACAAATATGTATAAGTATATAGATATCTATGTACACAATAAGATTCCTACTTATATTCTAAATGCGAAAGTTTGAGAAGATGTATATGGGTGTGTGTGTGTACATTTGTTGGTTAATCTTTCACAAATATACAATACAATATCTGACTGGCCACAGAAATAGATTACAGTTTGTAATAGCACACAAGTCACTTATTATTTCAGCAACTTGGACAAAGAAACAGACAAAAAAGATAGTATAACATACATATATTAACAAAAGCTTTGAGAACAGATTAAGGATTAGTGAGAAAAAAGATTATCGCTAAATCTTATAGATTTAACTTTATTGCAGTTGTCACAACATTGAAATAGATATACCTACTCGTACATATGTATATTCCTATAGTGTGTGTGTTAACTTTTGCGAAATACTAACGTTGTGTTGTAGACAACATTACGAAATAACATGTTATTGTTAACAAAAACCTATAAAATATTTTGATAAAACGAATATGTTTAATATATTATTTGAGACTTTGAAGAGTTTACGAAGTGCATGGCATGGGTTTCAATCTCTGGGTTGAATAAAATATAATTCCATTAAGTATTTACATTTCCAAATTCTGTAAAGTGTACTGGTCTAACAGAAAACTGTTTTGTAGTGTTGGTACGGTTATCGGCGACCCAATCCTCCTTTCTCAACATCCAACCCGAATTCTAAATCAACAATTCTTAAATTGATAACCCCCAAAACTATACCCTTTAAATGGTTTCAGACTTTTAGGTTTGTTCAAAGGTTCTATTTATTCCTTTACCAATATTATATTAATATACATAAAGTATTAGTATAGAATAAGTATAGTATTAGCCATTAGATACTGCTATTATGATGCTTTGTTTATATTATGTTTACTAATATTATAAAGGTGATGTTTCTGTTTGCTTGTACGCAACAATTATTTTTGTGCTGCATAGTCAATTTATCGGGAAAAGCTATAGACTATAAACATCACGAACAAAAGAAGCCGAGCAGTGGGTGAAATCGCGCGGGAGTAGCTAGTAATCCTATAATACTGTGTTATAAACTATGCAAGCTAGTTAATTATATCAACGGAAGTTTCTATTAATAAGTATGGCATAAATGAGATGGTGTATAAAACATCATCATTATATTTTAATATACCTATATTATAATGTACTAGTTACTTAACTAACGTATAAAATAATTATTATATCCAGCAATGCATGTGCATAATTGCAATATGAATAAAACATTTGGGATTGATTATTATATAATAATATAAATTTTCCTAATTGGCTGTGGTCGTGAGAACTTTGGAAGTAGTTGATGAAAATAATATTAACATATTGATCATATTTCCGTTTTCATAAAAGCTAAAGGTTTCTTTTGGGTCAAAAATTATCTACAGTCGCATCCAGTGCTTCATCTACGAGTTTTCACCATGTAACAAGATGGGGTAAAAAGTTCTACCTAGATTCCAAATGCTTTCGAAGAATCTTTTAATTTATTATGATTCACCCACACGCCCTACTGATTTATTCGCGCTGGCGCACGGTGACAAAATAATGGCCATTCTTTAAATTAAAATAACAAAAGAGGAATTTGTAATTAAGTAATTTTGTAAAAAGTTTACCTTGCCGGTGTTGAAATTTCTCTGTACATGTAATGTACCACTTCAGACGTTTATAAATTGTGGCGTAATTTTTCACTGTGTTGCAAATATGAGAATAATCAAACTTCTGAGCTTTTGTATGTGTATAAGTGTGGTTATTGGAAACACAAAAAGAGGTTTTAGCTATATCTAGTTGTCTATCGCCATAATATGCAACACACAGTGCTGAATACGATTGCTATTCACTTAAACTTGAGTGTCAAGTTTGTGAAAGTGTTAATTTATTTATTTTATATAGTTTTTATTTCTGGGTTAATTTTTGAGGCACGTTATTATATATGATACATTACCTAAAAGGTTCGAAGGGAAAGCAAATGTACCAATCAAAAGCAGGGATTAATTTCGCCGTTAATAGTTACTGTCCATTTAAGATTGTCTACAGCTAATTTTAGAAAAGGCGTACCTTTTCTAAAATTAGCTGTGGACAATTTAGCTGTAGTAGTACATATTTTATCTTTAAACGAATTCGGTTATTCCTAGTCGACACGTTTTTTATGAAAGTGAGCTATTGTATTAAGTAAAAATATTAGATAAGAAAAAGTATCCTATCCAGAAGAATTGAAATACTGTTAATTAAAAGTGAAGTTTAAATTAAACTAGCTACAAAACACAAAATATAATAAATAATAATATTAGTTAATACTTTATAAGTCTAAAAATAATTTTATTTCTCAATTTGGTAAGAAAAACATTTTTAAGCCGGATTATCTAGTTTGCGATAAATTCATCTAGATGGTTTTAGTCACACTAGTATGACGTATCCTCTTAGGTCAAATATAAACTAGTTTATTCAAAACTTAACACAAAACTATGTGCAATTTGTTCTACCACAATGTTGTTGCTAAAGTTACCTACCTTCACGGCATTTTATATAATCATAAGCTACAAAAAGTTGGCTTTGTAAATAAATAACCGTAATTCAATATTAATTACACTATTTGTTATAAGAGTGTTTGGAACTAATTCTGTGGTTTATATTATATTCGTCATAGTTATTTTTTTGTGGAGGAAAATCGTTTGATTTATCTTCTCCCGTCCTGGGTGGAGTACGAGGTTGTCAGATTCTTACTGAAGAAAAATCACTCCCTTCTTTCTTCTGCACCGAGGTGGGGTCACGGTAAATGATTGTGCTTGCACCCGCAAACAAAGTGACATAGTATAATTTAGTTTAGTTGTTCATAAAGCTAGTTTAAATATTGGTGTCGATATCCAAATACCAGAACGGAGGGCCGATCCCTTCCCTACCCCCATGCCTCCCTAATCTTTAAACACCGGAAACACCTTAACCTCATAATACCAGCAACACACTTGCAACTCCACCGGTGTCACGGGTTTCCATGGGCGGCGCCGTTAGGTTACGTAGGTTAAAAAAACATAAAGTTCAAGAAATTGCATTATAACTAATTACAGAACCATTCCATCGATACCAGAGAATCAAGACGTCGTTTCAGAATTCACACTCGCAACCACTAACCAACAATTATGTGGGCCTTGATTTAGAAGTTAACTTTTTTACGTAGATATAGTATTGCAAGACTGTTCTAAGTTTAGCAAGGAGTGACAACTTTGCCTCATCATCATGACTATGATTTCAAATGAGTGTAAATGAAGGGATTAACAAGTTGAAACGTTCAAAAAGATATTAGTCAATCTTTGTGTACAAATAAACAAGCTACTATTGTTCGGTAATCGGTAGTAATCAAATAATGTTGTTTGAACTTTCGACTGAAGAAATACTCAAGTAGTTGAAGTATGAAACATTAAGTTTGTGAATAGAAACTTAATAAACTTTGTGTGTAATGTGTAGACATGATTTGTTATAATAATATGTATGTACTTGGTTAATGCAAAGCGACGTTGTTTACGAATTTATTTCCATATCAAAATAAATAGGTAGATTCAATAAAGTGGTTATGTTTAATTGTATAAAGATTTAAAAATATTAAGTAAGGTGAATAACGTAAAAGAGATATTGTTGATCTCGTAATTTATCCAATGATTAGTCCATAATCCCTTTAACAAAATACATAACTTTGCAAAAATAATAAAATAATTGGTAATTATAGCACAGTCTTGTTACTATCTCTCGACCTAATCGCCAATCACATAAGGGCGAAAAACAATCACCTGCAACAGGCGCACAAATTATGTCACAAGACGGTAGGTCGTGGTACTCGTCTAGCAATAAAAACCAGTTGTGGTCATCACGTAACTGCAGTAATGTTATCGAGTCGAAAAGTGCATGAAGATTCATCTTGACCCACTGCGGCCCTGCTCGTATATTGGTATTTAGCATAATATTGATGTCCCCAAAACTTTAAAATGTTAGAGGTATTGGAACTTGATAAATAAATCTTAAGACATCTACTGATAGCTAATAGTTTGTTAGTCTAAGCATTAGTTTGCAGAAATATGGTTAGAGTTCCGTTTAAATTGTGTAAATCTTTTTACGTGGGTATAATATGTCTAGTATTGGAATATTTCAGGAGAATAGTTATTATGCTGAGACAGCGGTACCTTATTGCGATTGAAACATTGGCCCTGTTGCGCTCCATCAGTGGTTCCCAACTGCCAACCAGCACTTAGGGTGGCCGAATTTCGTGGTTCATTCCTCGACGCGGCTGGAGCGTT